ATGTAAAATTATCCGGGCTCACAAGGGTATATTATATAACTGTGAAGTAACTGTGAAATTCAGATTTCACTAACAGGTTCTGTAATTTTGTGTTCAAATACATTTGATTACTCCCATTCACTACATCCCCAGTATTGAGAAGACAGCTTTCAGATCACCTGGCAAATATGTATTTAATCAGTCAGTCAGTAACACACCATAGTGATCGAGTGAATTGGACTTATGACAGAGCATAATGGTAGTAAGATTTTAAATTCAAGTGATCCTCAATAGATTGGTTCCATGGCTAATAGCATCTTTTGATAAATTATGTAATTTTATCTCTTTAGATCAAAATTTCTTCACTGAATGATTAGTTATCATTCAATGTTCAAAATTCAAAAGATCTAATCTATTTGAAGAATTAGTTTGATTAGCTCCGAAACGATCATATTGATTGGTTGAAGTTACAAATTAACACTGTTGGGTGTAGGCCAGCAAGTTCAGTGGTCTGGTGGTTAAATGCTAGCGCGCGAGACTGATAGGTCCTGGTTTGGAATCTCGTGAGACGAGATCGTGGATGCGCACTGCCACTGAGGAGTCCTACAATAGGACGAAACGGCCGTGCAGCGCTTACATGTTTTCCATGGTGGTCTAACTTCAATTGATTCATAATCTGAACTATTGAAATATTCAAAATTAATTTAATGTATTTACATGTCACTTATCTTTTCATACAACCACACCAATTTTCAGTGATATTATTCAAACTACTCATTCAACGATTAAGTAGTAGTATTATATCAACTTTAAAAAATACCATAAAAATCAGTGTTTAATAAACGCATTTACATATTCTTCTTTTTCAATTATAGATAATACCCTTTCATCTATACCTCAATTAAGTCCATCATTAAGTTCAATAAATGGATATGATGGTGAATCAATATCATCTAATAAAAATGATAATATAACTCAAACTATATCAGTGATGTATTCAGAACAATCTACAATAAATAGAAATGGACCAATTGCAGAAGAAGAAGAAGAAGAAGAAGAAAAACGACGAGAAAAGAATGAAGAAGAAAACGAGTCAATGCAACCTAAAACGGTATCCAATGGTGAAACGGATCATGTTACTATGGCAGCAAACGAGGAAAGGGAAGAAAAACGAAAAGAAGAACAAAGTTCAATCGCAACTTCTGAAATTGAAGTTGACAATGATAAAGATAATAAGAATAAGAAGATTATGTGCCTTAATAATTCATTTATATATCATAATGGATCAAGTTCACTATGTAATCAATCCATTCATGAAACAATCATTGAACAACGTTTTCTTTCTTTTTTAAAATACAAGATGATATACTACTTACTATTTAAAATGAAAAACCCGAACTATATATATATATATATATATATATATATATATATATATATACTGTTCTAAAAAATAACTTTCAAGGAGACTATAATCTATGGATGAGCCAATCGGATTGAATATAGCAGATCTTGGATTTCAGCGCGAAATTCATTCATCCATTTGGCTTAATAGAGTTTTGGCATTATGGCTGAGGTCAATTCGTGATGAAAACGGCAAATCTAATTCTTAACTCTAACCATCAACTGTAAATCTTAATCCTAATTCCTCGAACTGATTTATAACCCTTACTTAGTCTTAGTTACCAGGTGAACACTCTCAAGGTCAATCGGACGTCTATGAAAGATCATCCATAAATCCTAGTCTTACCCTAACTTTCTTCAAAATGATTATGTAATAATTTGATCAGAATGTACCATTACTTCTATTACATTCTGTAATGTCTACTTTGAGAAAAAGTGTCCTTTCTTTTCTTGTTTTTTTTTCCATTTTTCCTGTAAACTGAACGATCAAACCATGAACTGATGTATTCAGTCAATCAGGTTATGCAATATTGTATATAGTACTGTGTAGCTCAAGGTATATATCTACCTATACATATAATGAATAGGAAAATACTATTGTAAATTGTAATAATACTACTGCCATTACTACTACTACTACTACTACTACTACTACTACTACTACTACTACCACGAATACCACGACTACTACTACTAGTACTACTACTACTACTACTACTACTACTATTGATTAGTTATTGATTTATGAACTTTTTAACTACTTATTTACTGAATTGATAGTAATATGTATAATATAAACAAAATTGTTTTTTGTTTAATCATTCAATTGGCTAGATATTCTATCTTATTATTATGATGATGATGATGATGGGTTATTTTTCTTGCATTCTGCATTTTGCATTTCTGTTTATGTATCTATATCTATATGCTTTGACTCTTCTTTTTACCCCAATGAAACGTATATAGATGTATATAAACATATACATATATCCATTCGAAATATGGTATTTGTTTATAAGATTGTTTCTATATTGATAAGGATTGTTTCAATGACACTTATGATTATGATTACTATGTTTAAAGAATTGAATTGTCATAGAGTTAGTAACTTAGTCAAGACTATTATGAATAGTTATCGATGGGTCCTGGGTTCAAATCTTGAGGAGCAGGATCGTGGATGCGCACTGGCATTGAGGAGTCCCATAATAGGACGAAATGGACGTCCAGTGTTTCCAGGTTTTTCAAAGTGGTCTAGCTTCAATTGACTCATGATTTCAATTATATAAAACTATTAAAATCTGCACAAAACCCCCTACTGATAATGACCAACTGCTCACTAGTGACTGGCTCCATGATGTATTTCCTGGAGTTCTAGTGAGAAGCAGTAACCAGTGGGGTTCAACCAAGCCTGTTGGGAGATATCAACTGACTGGAGACATTGGTGAATAGTTGATCAATTTCGTTAATTGGTTGAAGTTAGACATTAACACCGTTGGATGACAGCCGGCTCAGTGGTCTTGTGGTTAAGCGCTCGCGGGCGTAACTGCTAGGTCCTGGGTTCGAATCTCGCGAGGTGGCATCGTGGATGCGCACTGCCACTGAGGAGTCCCACCATAGGACGAAACGGCCATCTAGTGCTTCCAGGTTTTTCATGGTGGTTTAGCTTCAATTGACTCATGATTTCAACTATGTAATATTATGAATATGTTATATAGACACTAATTGGTTGTGAATAGGTATAAATAAATGACAATTTAAATCAAAAGTCCTATATACTCCTAATTAAGGCATATATAGCATAGTATTTATCAGATTTTTGAGAATATTACAAGTTGAAACCATATTAGAAGTGTGGTGTTCACTATTTATATCGATATGAGTAGGATATAACGATAGTCAGTATTAGAATATATGGAACCAAAAGGTCGAGAAGATTGTAAAGGAAAAAACGGGAACAGAAAGCAAGTCGTTTGAAAATGCAGGAACAATGAAGTCTGAGATGATTGATTGACATTTTGCAAATGAAGTGTTTACTGTGTAGTGATCAGCTTGTATCGATGAGAACACGATTGGAATAACAGAAACAATTATTATTATTGTAACCAATTGTACCAACGATTGATTTACTGTACTTGTTTAACTGTATCTGACTCACTTCTGGTTCCGCTATCCGCCTTGTTTGGTTCGAACTTTCTTACGCTCTGTCCATTTTGCCTATACTCGTTGACACGTCTCGGTATTCTTTCGATACCACGAGATCGCCAATAAATATACTTTGTCTGGACTAAATAAGGCCTTCTGGCTCGCAAGTTATCAAAGGAACTAAATCGATTCTGGGCGCGTAATCGAATTGTAGTGGTGATCATAGTCCGTCCTCGACTCCACGCCTACTACAACTGTATAGTTCTCTGATTTAACTGAGATGTTCTGTAATTTTGTGTTCAACTACATTTGATTGTCCCTACTTGAGTTCTCGTTCACTACAGAAGAAGAGGTTGAAAATTTTTCCTTTGTCATCTATAATTCTACCTTCTCTAGAAGTATGAAGACAACTCTAACGGTCTAAAGAAGATGGACGCTCACTGTATTTGGTAGATTTCTATTCATTTTGTTTATAGTGTGTTTGATTATTGATCTTCTCATGAACCACCTGTTGTCTGTCTTAAGTCATCTTGTAAAATGTTTTTAAAACCTGTACAGAATGAAAATCAAACAACTTACATGCTTAAATCCATAACAGTAATTTTGTTAAGTGTGACATCTAATTCTTTACTTACCTAGGTCAACTAATGAGCAACGAATTGAAGGGAGATGAGAAGGAATTTCTCTCGAATTACTTCAAAAAGTTTCATCTTTAAAATGTCTACATTTGCAACTTGTTCCTGTGAGCTTCTTTAGTTGTACATTAAGATTAATAGTTAGCTAATCCTACTCTCTGGTTGACACTAGTAATGGTTTTCAAAGCTAAGGTGACACTTTGCTAAATAAGCTATCAGTAAGTGAAAAGTGTTGGTTTACTTAGTTGTTCTCTGATATTTGAACTTCCTGTTGATGTTTAAATTGCACGGGTTATGGATTCCTAATATCACTTACGATAATATAGAATCTGCTCTCTTTCCTAGTTTTGTAATTATGCTCTGGGAACTCATTTACAGAATAGAATCTGAAATTTTACGACTGTTCATTGACAGCTATGTCACTATCCGTCTTCATTATTATCTACACTAAACTCTGATATGGTCAGCTGCCTATGATTTAAAAGATTTTTCATCTTCGTTTCCTCCTGTACCGTTCATAGGCTTATTGTCCCAACTGATATGCACATACCTTATTTCAACTATCGTAATATAGCAAGCATGGATTTATTACTGTATAGTCTGATGAAATTATTGAAAACAATTTTTACCTCAAACATTCCTTGTTTTGAATACTCAATGGGAATTTTCGAATTCGTACAAATTGTCAAAGTATGTTTCCCGTGTGAACTGACCATATATCGTGAATTATTCAACAACTGTCACGTTTGATTGGTGTTCTCTGTCTTCATATCCCTCTGAACTATCAATTACGTTGTCACTTATCACTTACAGTTTTTTTTCCATTTTAGTTGCAGAAGTATGCTTCAGAAACATTCTGGTCCACCTCTTGGCTTAGAACGGATTCATCGATATTTTTGTTACGTTTGTGGAACTCTTCTTCCACACAAGTTGGAAGTTAATGATTTATTAGTATGCCGAAAATGTAAAACTTCTACATGTATGCATTGGTTCAGTAATATGGATGCAACTTTCAATACTGAAGCCAAATCTAGTAAAATAGGCCAATTTAATAACGATGAGTATGAATCTACATCTTTATTCTTTCCATCAATGATTAGAGGGGCTAAAAAGATCTTAAGATCGAAAATCGCTTTAAAGGAGGCTTTGGAGTCACAATTTGAAAACAGTACATCACAATCAACATTTGATGGACCATCTATTATAAAAGAATGTGCCTATTGCGGTAATGATAGAATGACTTATGTTACAGTTCAAACTCGTTCAGCAGATGAAGGACAAACTGTAATATATACCTGTACCCAATGTTCTAAAAAAGAGATTGAAAATACTTGATTAAGTGTTTTGATTTCACCAATTAGTATTCATATTAGTTTAGTTTTGTCGGCTTTATCTTAAGTTTAATAGTTTATCATGGCCCACTAACACGTTGATATTGAAAGCAATTACAAACGTAAATCGAGGAGTTGTAAGTTGATACTTCTGGGAACATAGTATTCTCATTTGATATTCTTTGTTCACTAGTGCAACTAAGTTGAGTCACACACCATAGATACTGGTTCGCTAACTACTTGGTTGAATGGACTGTTATTACGTTGCACTTTGAACTTCCAGTTTATTTTCGGTATAGAAATCCGATAAAGGATTAAGATCATAATAGGTGCGTTTTTAACAGATTACTTCATACCTAAGCTTGAGAAACCGATATAATGTAGTCATTAAGCGTCTCAACTCCTACAAGAGACAGGACTACCATATTTATAAATTTTTATGAGGATGTTGGCCTGATTGACGTTCAACATCCCTTCAATGTTTGTAAACCACGATAGGGAATTAGGTCCACCTATCTCATTTCTCGATGTGCTAACTTATTCACGAATGTCTTGTGGAAGTTGCTCAAACGTGCTTTGTTTTCCTTTACAATAATAATATTAGAGTTTTATCTTTGTCATATCATCGTGTTCATCATAAAATGAAGCCTCAATTTCATGTAAGTACGGTTGTACAGCTTGATAGTAAATTCTTTATTTCACTTCGTGCTTTTCTAATGTACGTATGAGTTTGATAACTTCTCGTAAATTACTCTCTACTACTCTCATAATTCCTGTCACTGAGACGCAACCCTTAATAGATCGAAACACGTGTAACACTTCAGTAAATTAGTGTACAGAGCAAGGTTCGAGTGTTTGTTTATTTTTGAGTATGCATACCCAATTTCTAACTAGTAAACTCCTGATCGAAGATATCACGCTGTGCCCGAGGAACTGTCTCAGTCGTGTGATCTGTTATGACGGGTTGAGTATCGGGAAAGTCGTAACCTTCGGAACTATTTTTCGGATTACTATTTATATTTCTAGTGTATAGCTAATAAATACTCGTATCACTGTATCTATATATTTCCACTGTAAGCTTCCAGGTGACCTATTAACTGTCTTTATAAGTTTTACTACTCTTTAATTATTGGTAACTATTTGTGTACTGTTCTCTTCACTCCCTGCCATTTGCGGCCTAATTGTATTTAAAGTATGGTTTCTTATATGATGTTTTGCACAGTCTAATCTGTGTATATAAGTTAGTGTGTGCTTGAGGTAGTTGTTGGCTGAGCTGGATAATTGAAATATACCTATGGTAGGACCCAGACTCAATGTAGAGGACAGAAAAAAGCTTTTGGGTGGCCCATCAATAAAAGTGTAGCTTGGACTCAGTCAGTCAGCTACAACGCAGGACCAGGCACATATGCATCGGTCCAAGTTGCCATACCTCGTTAGCACAACAACATGAACACCGGATTCATAGAAGTACCTTGGACTGGCTCAAGGTTAACCTTGCAGGTCGAAACGTATAATTGGTCAAGTCTGGGATGCTAGGTTTTGACCAGAATAGTAGACTAGAGAGAAAAAAATAATGTATTCAGGATTTCGGCTGGTAACTTTAGCACATGATACCGATTAGTGTCTCAAATCATGACAAAATTGTTGACTGGAATTTCCAGAAAAGAGAGGAAAGAAATAATAGCACTAGACTGAACTTTTGATGTTAGGCAAAGCAGTAAGAAGGAGAATAATCCTGTATTCAGTAGATAGCTTCAAGGAGATTTCAAACTATTATTTCGAATTCGCATCAGTTGTCTGAGAATTTAAGAAGAGTTCAACAGCAGAAGGTGATCTCTATTACTTCAGAAATAATGCATATATTGTTACAAATGTAAGAGAGGTTCATTCAGAATCAGTCGAAATTAATAGAAAGACTAAATTCAGGGTTGACGAGTCATACACTGCAATAATGGTGATAATTGATATAGAAATAAATTTCGTACTGATTTCTCCACATTGAATAAATCCATGCGTTAAGAGCTACACAAACCGTTGATAAGCAGTAGTTTAACCGATTTAATAGTCGTACCTAATCCTTCCAGTGATTCAATAGAGGCTGTTTCAGAAACGAATGCCAGAATGAGTCCGAATCCCATCATGTCCGAGGCAGAATGTACAACTACTGAGTTGTCAAGCGCAAAGCAGGATGATCATTTATTAAATGTGCATAAAATTGTCATAGCTAAACCAACCTTCATTATTCCAACTCGGAACAGTCTTGCATATAAAAACCGAGTAATTGATTTAGTCATCAATCACGAAGTCAACACGTATCTTTCCACTTAATGACACTTACTACTTGTAAGTAGTATGGTTTTTAAAATTATCGCCGCTGAGCTCAGTTAGTTTTGTAACGGAATGAAAATTATTAACATGTATAAATAGTTAAGGTAGAACTAGCTAAGTAATTAGTCGTTCATAAAGGGTATGTTTATTCCGAAGTAAGTTGATATTAGCAACCCAATCTGCTGATTTTTCGGAAAATCTTATCAGTTTCGTGGAAGCTTCAGTAGAAAAGTTTGTGGAATATGCCACAAGAACCACAAAACTCCCCCTGATCGGGTTTTTTCTACCCAATACTTCAAGTTATTTTGGGGAAATCCCTAACACTTTTGAGGAAATTTAGGATTTTCCCCAATATTTCTCCAGACTGGATAAAGCCACAAATTTTCATATGACTTTGAGGAAAACCACACAATCCGAAGATTGGGAAGTTTTAGAAGTTTCTACTCAATTATTTAACCCTCTGAAACTTGTCCTAGTAAACTCTGGACATATTGGGGGGGGCGAAGGCAATTTACTCAAAGGCTGAGAAAAGTCTATGCATTGATTGTGAACAGTAGTGAGCAATGAAAGTAAAAGTAGTAAGGTTGCCATGTTTAACTTACACCCAAAGTAAGGGTTGACATTAGAATCACGGCTCGTATTATCCCCCTACCACCCTTTTTTTCTAAAATGAAGGATGTGAAAGAAAATTTAGCAATTGATGAATTTGTTTTTGAAAGTTTGTGCTCAAGTGAAAAGTGAACAAACATTTTGTCACCTGTAATAATTTTTTTATTAATTGGTTGTAAATGGTGCAGTTTTGTAGTTTGATTCGTTCAAATCGAAGTAGAATAAAGTACTTTTATTAAATGTAAGAATTGACATTTTCACATCGGATTATTATTTACAATAATGAACTATTTTCGCATTGTTCCATCTGAGTTTAACTTGGAAATAAACAAAAATCCTTTTCATTATCCTGCTATACTGCTGCTGTCAGTGAAGTAGAAATGCAACTGAAGTTGTCAGTTATCGTCGTGACAAGAGTAGTAATAATAATGTGTAGATCATTGTTACATAATAGTTGATATAATGGTGATTATTGAATTTGCAAAGGGTAATCTCAAATGTTTAATACACAATTAGTGAATACAATTTCATTTCAGTATTCGCATAAGTTAATTTAAACACATAGTTCACTCATTTAATGAAACGTTATATTCGTGTAAATGATGAAGAGAAAGTGTGAATGAGGCATGTCAAAGTCACGCTAACCGTAAAAGATGGTTATAAATGAAGCAACTTTTACGCTGTCTGAGAAAAAATAGAAGCAAATAATCTTCATAATTCGCTTATTTTGCGAATCGTTATTCTTTAATACTAAAAAGTGGATCAGTTTAGCTTTGAAAAGGGTGTCGTCAATCCATTAAATGGTATAAAATATGTTGATCTCTACATTATTTGTAGTTGATCACTTATTAATGATCACCTAAATTACATGTTAGTGTTGTACTCAGTCATCATGTAATACGGTTTATTGTATTTGTCAGATGGGCATAACGTTTTTATTGGCACGTAATGTTAACAGTCAATGTTTTTGAAGTGTACCGCCTTTCATCAAAATCATGATCTGAATTTTTTCATTGCCATCTGATAATTAACATTGTAAATGTTAATTAATTAGAAAGACTGGAATTATATTTCCAACTCAACAGTTCCCCTTTGTTAAACATACTAGACGTACAATGATAAACTGTATGTACATTATCCATCACAAAGGGATAATAATTACTCCTCTTATATTGTCAAACACTAAATCGGTGAATGTTGGAAAAGGGTAACCTTTTTTTGACAAGCATATGTGTTGTAATATAGATTGAATAAAGTGTCAATGAACAAGTCTCTGTCTAACGAAATAAATTTCTATTTCAATGATATGACTTAACGTGGAATAAGGTCAATTGTATCAAGTAACCATTTACGTAATTAGAATATCGTATTTCAACCTTGAATTTGAAAAATCTAAAAAGCTGTTGGCAAAGTAATAAAGTGAGCGATGATCATTATTAATCTACAGCTTCATTACTATGGAATTGTGATGACCGATCAGTGTCTGTTCACTTGAACTTAGTAATAGAAATGATCTTGTTGTACTAGTGAACTGATCTTACTACATTTCTCTACTGTACCTATTAATCAAATCATATGAATGTAAAATGAATTATTGATGGTTTCATGACTCCTCCTTAAAATGTAAACAAGAAATTCAAACAAAATTCAAGTCAAATTGTCGGTTGCCTTGAAAAGGGCGATTATTCGGTCTCTACACAGGTCCTTTTGTCCTGATTAATGACTCCACTATGAGTCCGTAACAGCGCCGCATATGGGACAGTTGAACACAGGTGATACTTCTGATGGGTCGTAGGCACAGAACGAATGAAACATAGCGTTGTATGGACGAAAAATCCAAGCACTTCCATCAACTATTTCACTGGGCGGCTGACGTAGATGGCAAATATCACACAGTCGGTCATTGTGCGCACGTTCGTCTTCTTCATTGTCTCGGTCCGTAAACTCTTCTGAGTTCATAGATATTACTTCAATCTCGTTATCAATTAAGGTAACATCCAAATCTACGTTCTGTTGACGGTTGGTGCCTGAGGTATTTCGGACGATGGGCATTGTGATGGTAGTAGA